ATATGATGCCTTCTTACCCAGTGACAACACTTCCCTAAGGCCATGAGTGCCTCAGACTTAGTCTGAATGCACAAGGTAGGTGATGGTGATAAAGGCTCATAAGACGTTTTAAAAGAACAACATAGGTCCTTAAAAACTTCTGTCCAAGAAATTTGAAAGTGGCATTTTTCATAATGTCCTTGTCTTAGTTACCCATTGCTCTATAATAAGTTTGGCCCCAAACTTTGTGTCTTGCACAACACTATGTATTATCTCACAGTGTCTGCAGACCAGGGGTCCCAGACCTCCTCAGCTGGGTTCCCGGGCTCAGGATTTCTTACAAGGCAGCAGTGAAAGTTTTGATTAGGACAACAGTCATTCAAGCATGACTGGAAAAGGAGCCATTTCTAAAATTCCTCACACAATCATTGGCAGGAATCATTCTTCTGCAGGCTACTGAAGGGAGGACCTTGTTTCTTTCCTGGCTCTCAGTAAGAGGCCTTTTTCAGTGCACTGCCACACCAGCCTCTGGTCACAACACGGCGGCTGTCTTCATCAGAATGGGTAAGTAAGGAGGTAAGAATAAGAGAGCAAAAGTCGCAGCATTTCATCACCCAGTCTCAGAGCTGACATCGCATCCCTCCTGCCAGGGATCTTCGGTAGGAATACATGCAAAGGGAAGAGATTACACCAGAAGAAGAGGTAACTGTGAGTCATTTCAGAAGCTGCCAGAGGCGAGTCCATCTTCCTGAACTGCACTACAGGTGAAAGGGCAAACAGTGCATTATTGTCGTACTATAGGACAGTACACCATAGTACTCTATAAAGGGACAAACTATAGATGGACCCAATATGGGTGAGCCTCAAAACAACATTATAGAGGGCCGGGGATTTAGCTCAGTGGTTCTGACGCCTGCCTGGCAAGGTGCAAGGTCCCGAGTTGGACTCCCAGTACCCAAAACAACAACAATATCATAATGAGTGAAAGCCAGAACGGAAAGAATTAACACTTTATAACTTTAGTTTGTGAAGTTTTAAGAGACAAAATTAACCTATAGTGATAGTAAAAGTACTGGAGAGAAACTGATGGAAGAAAAGCACAAGAGAACTATCTAGAATGAAAGCTATCTCAAAAAGGGTGTGTTTACATGGGTGTATATGTTTGTCAAGACTTGTAGAACTGTGCAGTTGAAAGTTGTGTATTTTACTCTATTTAAATTATATTTTAATGTAAAAATACTTTTTAAAAGCTTCCATCAGCACCACACACTATATTCCAGACATTAGTACACTTTTGTTTTCCTTGCCTGGAAACGAGGCTCGACTACAGATCAGACTAACTTCCTGTGTGGCCTGGGGCAACCTCCTTAACCCCTCTGGTCTCATCTGTTCAGCAGCATTAAACATTTATTCTATGTGAGATTTGTGGGAGATAAAGAAGAAACAGAACTCAATCCACACTCTCCAAGGGCCCATATCCTAGTGTGAGAGACACACATATAAATGAATAAATGGATGGGAGATAAGAGTGCTGGGATGGATTAATGATGTCTGCCCTAGACATAGGATGTGAAAGTGGTATTTGTCATCCTTGCTCTATTGGATTACAAGGTTTAAAAAGTGTTTGTTTTCTAGGTTCTATTAAACCTGGTGACAAGACCTACATACCTACTTGTTAAATGCAATTTAATTCAATAGACATTTGCTAATTGTTTTCCATGTACTGGGTATATTTAAAATATTCTTTAATTTCTATGATATTCCTACAAGGCCACTGTAAACCTCAGTCCTGGCTCAGATGACATGTGCTTTTTGGAGGATTTTACTATGAACCACCCATATAGTTTAAATCCATGTGTCATTTTCAACTTTTAAAAATTCAACACAGAGACAATGTCAATATAAAACATTAATTTTTCAGATTTATGAAATCTGAATTTCTAAATTAGTAACAGTGTGGGCAAGAAGCACCCTTACAATGATCTCATGACTTCATCAAGTGCCCTGCCACTGATGCACTAAGCTCTCTACCCTGTTTCCCTGAATCCTCATCACTAGTCAGGAGGAAGTCTCCACTCCTCAACCTCATTAGTCCTATTTTACAGGTAAGGAGATTAAAATTAGGAAAATTAAGTGTGAAACAGAGTGAAACTTCAGTCTTTACAGTGTCTCCCATCTCCTCTGTAACTGAAAGAAAAATTTCCTTCTGAGCTAAAATGTTCCTTCTGCAAACACTAAGGATTACACACATTGAACCCGTTTGGTCAAAACATTAATGGTGCACAACCTCGAATGAGTCAGTTTCTGCTTGGGCTCCAATCTCCTCATCTGTGAAATATAGATACTGAGCTTGATGACAAAAACAAGATGGCAGAACCCTAAGAGAATTCATGTATGCTTTACCTGTGGTGTATACTAATTTAGTAACACTCCCCAGCTGATAGATAATAAGGTTACCATTTTCACTCAGTGCCAAGTAAGAAAATGGTTTTCTTTCCAAATCATTAAAAGTAGAGAGTAGTTCTGCCATCTGCCTCACAAGCACAAGGACCCACGTTCGATCCCCGGTACCAAAAACAAACAAACAAACAAACAAAATAGAGAGTAAGTGAATCACATCCATTGCTTTCCTCAGCACTAACGCATTTTAAGAGCAGTATTTAGTATCTGGATGTGGAGAATCCGGAGCTGGATTATGTTTCTAAGTCAAAATGTAGTAAAGTTCACATCAAGAGGATTTCACCCTAATCCAACAGTACCTTAATGGATCTTTAAGCCCCAAAGCACATTTTAACCCTTGAGTTCTCAGGAAGAGCTTGGTCATACGATTTTTCAATGGAGACATTTCATGGTTTATCTGTTTTACCCAAGAATAAGGAAAGACTGTTATGGGGAAAAAAATGTTTGGCTCAACTAAATATATCCTGAGCTAGGAGCTTTAGCAGTGGTTCCCAACCTTTCTGGCATCAAGAACTGGTTTTATGAAAGACAGTTTTTTCTAGGGTGGTGTGGGGGTGATTCAAAGGAGTGAGAACCTAGATCCCTTGCCTCCACAGATCACAGTAGAGTTCATGCTCCTATAGGAATCTAATGCCACACCTGATGTGACAGCCGGCAGAGCTCAGGCCACATGTGAGTGATGGGAAACAGCTGTAAATACAGATGTGCCACTTACCTCCTGCTGTGCAGCCCAGTTCGCAGCAGGCTGTAAGCTAGTACCAGTCTATGACCCTGGAGCTGGGGACCCCTGCTTTAAAGGAGGCTTGTATGCTAAGCACAACAGTGAATGAACTGCATATAAGCAACTGGGCCCCTGTGAACAGTGCTGATTGTCTCTTTTATAGAAGATCACAATAGGTGCACTTCATTGAGAACAAGAGGATTTCTCCATTACACACAGCTCAACTGCAAGACACAAGTGCTGAGTCTTGAGCAAACAGAAGGTTGCTCTCTTCGTGGCTTGGAACTTAAAAATGAGGAGGAGGAGGCATGCAAAAACCACAGAAAGCATAGGCAAGAATAAGAAAGAGGAGACAAAACTCAAGGGCCTACATTCATGAAGATGAGTTGCTTAATGGGTCTTGGTCCATCTACCTGGTTTGTTTTCTCCTTGGATACCTTGATATTGTTGCCCTTTATTTGGACCTTTCTTGATTAAAGAAAGCAGAGCTATTGTACAGAGCAAAGGAAGTCTTGAGTTAGGATGCTAGAACCCTGGCCTTCAAAGGGGCATCAGAAGCCTTCAACCTTTAGATATTTTCATTTACAGGTAACAAGACATTGTCCTTAGCCTCTGAGCTTATAGATGGCACAAAAGCACAGAGTGCTGGTCTACCTTTCCCAGGCTGCACTTGCTCCAGAGCTGTCTATGATGTCCCTGAGACAAAGAGCCCCTCAGCCATCCTGAGATCGCTCTTCAAACAATGAAAGGCCAATATGGAAGAGACTTCAGATCCTGACAGCAAGATGAACTGAGTTGAGGGATGAGAATCAGAACCAAGCAACTCATTCAAATTCAGTAACTACCAATAACTAATGCGGGCCAGACACTGTTTATCAGCAAAGGTCAAAATCACATCAAAATTATTAATCCAAACAATCAGATGTTTTTTGAGCACTTGCCATGTGTCAGGGGGAGAGAAGAAGATATGGAGAAGGGAAAGGAAAAGAGGACCTGGTCATAAGGCTTCCTGGCTATTTAGTAGCCAAAATTCAAACCCACTGAGACCTGCGATGTATACAGCCTCCCCATTGTCATACATGAGCACCAAGAGCACAGAGTGCTGGTCTACCTTTCGCAGGTTGCACTTGCTCCAGAGCTGTCTATGATGTCCCTGAGACAAAAGAGCCCCTCAGCCATCCTGAGATCGCTCTTCAAACAATGAAAGGCCAATATGGAAGAGACTTCAGATCCTGACAGCAAGATGAACTGAGTTGAGGGATGAGAATCAGAACCAAGCAACTCATTCAAATTCAGTAACTACCAATAACTAATGCGGGCCAGACACTGTTTATCAGCAAAGGTCAAAATCACATCAAAATTATTAATCCAAACAATCAGATGTTTTTTGAGCACTTGCCATGTGTCAGGGGGAGAGAAGAAGATATGGAGAAGGGAAAGGAAAAGAGGACCTGGTCATAAGGCTTCCTGGCTATTTAGTAGCCAAAATTCAAACCCACTGAGACCTGCGATGTATACAGCCTCCCCATTGTCATACATGAGCACCAGCTGGGATACATGTGTCCTAACAACTGTGAGGAAACCACGGGGAAAAGGCCAGAGCCTCCTTCAACAAAACATGCAGTAAGCAACTCCTAAGTCAGATGTTTCTATAGGTTGTCTAAGATAAAAATACAAACAGAAAGTTCAGATCTAAACAGATGAAGTGTTAAAAAAAAACAACATGAAGACAGAGCAGCAAAGAAGGCAGGGGATCTCTGTGTCCTCGTGGAATGTACAGCCTCCTGAGGTCACAGAGACAAATCAAGAGAGCAAATACAAGATTCCAGAAAGAGGAATGTAGTGTAGGCTTAGGAAACGTGACATGCCAATGTCTCGTGTAACCTGAAGCAGGAGAAGGTATCCTAGGCAGGATGGGGGAAGCCACCTCCCAGGTGGGACATCTGACAGGTACAAAGGTTCAGAAGTGGGCAACACTGGGTGGGGCCAGGAGCCATAGGAGGGTGGGTGGGGAGGGGCAGAGGCCAGCGGTGGGGGATGAGGCTGGAGCCCTGTGGGCCTGGGGGGCGGGTGTTGGATTTCATTCCCAGCACAATGCAAGCCCATTGACGGGTTTAGCAACAGTCAATAGAAAAGAACACAAAAGGCCTATTGGAGGGCTCAGCACAGCCCTGTAAGCCCTGCATTCAGAACCTCACTAAGCACTGGCTGTATTGTCTCCACCGACTCTTTTCACAACAGTCTCTCAGCCCCTGATTTTCTCAGTTCTTTCTCTTCAAGGCTTTCTTATGGCTCCCAAATGAATAGGAACAAGGGAGAAAGAAGAAAAGACCCAGTCCCCAGGGGCCCACTGGACTGCTGTTGATGCAGAGAACACTGCAGGACAGGGAGTGCTGGAGTAGCCCTTGTGGGCAGACATGGAGGAAGGATGAGAAGACAAGCCAAAGACCAGAGTGGCAACTCCTCAAACCCCAGGTCCCCCAGAGCCTGGAGGGTGCAGAGAAAGGGAAAGGCCAACACAGGAAAGTGGATGGGGATCGGTAGGGAGTCTGAGATGTGCCATTGATTTGTCCTGCATTCTGGATGGGACAAGCTTGGGAACTGGAGCCAAAAGATCCCGGTCAAGTCAACTCAGGCTGGGTGGCCAAAGCCATCCTGGAGAGGCTCAGTTTACACACAACCTCTGACCCCAGTGTCGCTGTCCCAGTTTTCTACCAGGCCATCTGCGCAGAGGGCTGGATGGGCCCCCAGTCATCCAGATTAAGGGCTTCCGCTTGGGTTTGGTGGATGGAAAGCCCTGGTAGGGCTGGAAGGCAGGGAGAGCCTGGTACTTACTCCCACAGCTCCCTTCCCTCCAGTCTGGGATTGTGAGCTGCTGTGCTGTCTTCTGAAGGCCTTGGTTGCTGTTCCCAGCCCTTCCCTTTCTGAGGAAGCAGCAGCTCCCTTCTTTCACTCTTGTGAGCCTAAGGGTAGTGCCAGCTTCCTGCTGTTGCACCTCTGGATGCCTCCCTGTCCCTCACTGTTTCCTTACTTCTGCTGCCAACTTCATCAATAACACCTTCATTAACCTTTCCCCATTAACCTCTTCCAGTGGGTCATCTCTTTCTCCCCTGCTCCCTACCTGCAGCTCCCGCAATGGTAGCATCTCCTTTGGAAAATATTATGGGCAATAAACCAAGCAAAGTGATGCATGAGCAGGCGTCTTGGCTCATCACAGCATCCCGAAGGGGTCCAGTTCTGGTGTTCACTGATGAGCAGATGCATAAGCAGCTGCAGATACACATGAGTAGAGTGTTTCTCAGCCATGAAGAGGAGAGACGCACTACTGCATGCTACAATGGTAGGTAAAGCTCAGAGACATTACGCCAAGCAAAGGAAGCCATGATAACAGAACCTCACACTGTATTAAACCTTCCCATCACTTACACACTTAAGCGTTAGGAGGGAGCTGGGGATGTAGCTCAGTGGTGCCGCCACCTGCCTCGCAAGCTCAAGGGCCCGAGTTCGATCCCCAGTACTATGTCAGACTCAAGGATTCCACAGGAATAATTCACCCCACTGGAAAGTTGAGGAAACTGCAGCAAAGAGAAGTGACCGGCCTAAGTGAATGCAACACAGCCAGAGTCTTCCAAAGCAAGGCTCAGAGACTGCAAAGCCGACTTTTGAGAGTTAGTTTGAGCCAAGTGGGGCAAGTTCATCTTGGGGGCGTGGGCCTGCTCCACACCTGGGAGGTGGCGCAGGGAGGCAAGAGATAGGAGGTACAAGATCTCACCCCAGCAGAGAGGCCGGGCCATCAGGATTGCAGGGCAAGGAGAGGTATTCCTGAGTGAATGGACTTCAGGAAATGGGATGGGAGAGAGAACTGGGCAGGTGGTTGTTCTGAGGTCCCCACAGAAGGTCCACAACACCACATGGCATTCAGAAAGACGCAGCAAACCTGAAAACATGGAGGTCAAGTCCTGGGTAGAAATCTAGAGGAAATACGTGAATATTTGTGCTTTGACCTCTCTGTCCTCCATTGCCCGTTTCTCTTGATGTACAACATCTCATCGCTGCTACAGAGGAGATAGGTGATACAACTACAAATGCCTTAGGGACTTAGGAGGCAAAGATCCTTTTCAGGGTGGAGACATTTCTGAAGAAACTTTTTAACCCTGTCCCCGTTCCCTCCCTGCCTTCCATTTTCTCCCTCTCACCACACCCCCAATATAACCATATGGTCACTTTTTTAACTTTTTATTTTGAAATGATTACAGACTCCTAGGAAGTTGCAAGAACAGCAGAGAGAGCTGTCTCACGGATCCTTCAGCTAGTGTCCCCCGGTGGTGACTTGCTTTCTAGCCATGGCACAGTATTCAAACCAGAAAACTGACACTGGTGAAGTACTGTTAACTAGACACTGACCTTGTTTGCTTTTTCACCGGTTTTTACGTGCGGTCCTGTGTGTGCTGTGTTTGTGTGTGTAGTTCAGTGCAATTTGATCTCTTGTGTGGATTCACATAACTGCCACCAAAGAAGCCACAGAGCAATTTGTTCAGCACAAAGAAACTCCCTTGTGCTACCCTTGATAGGCTGATCTCCCCACCCTTGTTCCTGTCCCCTGGCAACCACTAATCTCTTTTCCATCTCTACAGTTTTGTTCTTTTGTGTGTGCTTCATAAATGAAATCTTATAATACAAACTTTTAGGGATTCATCTTTTTCACTAAGCATAATGTTCCTGTCATATATGGTGGGTTGAATCACATTTCACTCAAAAATTAATACGCTGAAGTCCAAACCCTCAGTACCTCAGAACATGAACTTATTTAGAAATGGTAGAAATAAGTAGTCAATATGAGGTCAGACTAGAGTAGACTGAGTCCCTAATCCAGTGGTTACTAGTGTCCATATAAAAGGCATTCCCACAAAGCCAACACCATGGAAGAGAGTTATGCGGCCATGAGCCAAGGAACTGCCAGAATTTAGGAGAAAGGGCAGGATCAGACCCTTCACCAGCTTCATCAGTGACAGCATATCCCAACATCTTCTGACACTTTGACCTCAACTCTCCAGCTTCGGGAACCCTGAGACAACTTTCCTTTCCGTCGGCCACTTTATAGTGCTTTGCCTCAGCAGCCCTGGAAAACGAATACACTGCCTGTCTCAAAAATGTGTTCCTTTGTATTGTTGTATGGTGATCCATTTATAGATATATGAGGATTTCTTTCAACTATTCACCCACTGAAGGACACTTAAATTGTTTCCAGTTTTAGGCTATCACAAATAAGACAGCTCTGAATATTCATGTACAAGTTATGTCCGAAAATAGGATTATGTCTCCCTCAAAAATATACAAGAGTGAAACTACTTGGAATCAAAGCAAGTGCATGCTTAGCTGATGAGAAATTGCAGGCTTTCCCATATCACTAATTTTTATAATGAGTAGACTCTCTTTAACCCTGATAAATACTCTTTCCATTTTTAATGACAGCAATGGATTCTTAGAGGGAAGTGGGAGAAGGGACAGGACGGAGTCACACCTGGAATGCATGCAAACAGGATAGAAATATGGTTTGTGGTCAGTTGTGCAGCAGACAGTGTAATGACAAAGTGAATTACCTCAAAAGAGCTACAGTTAACCTTGGTTGTCTGAATGAAATAACAAACTCAACTAACCTTGATTCAGTACATGTCACATACCAGGCACCAACCTGGATGCTGGGCAGACCACTTGTACAGGACGGAAACGAGCTCCTCAATCCTCTCATCCAGGAGTAAGAGCCAGGTGCACACCCAACCTGTCATCACACTGCCTATGATGAAGAAAACAATGACACAGTAGATACACTAAGGATAGAAACGCTGAGCTCTGGGGTAAACAAAGTGTTCTTCTCTGTCCCTAGTTTCTTTTTACTTCATATGTTATTGTCTGAAACATGAGGAGGCAGCTTGGAGACAGGGCTGAGATGAAAATGAATTCTGGGAAAACCAGAAAGTGCGTGTCAAGGCTCAGAAAGGCTTTTGCATATCTTGAGCTCCTGGAAACAGAGTATGACAGCTGGATTAGTCACAAAAACAAGACACGTTTTATTGGATTATCTGGATTGTCTACACACTCATGCAGGGATGGCCCACCTCTCATACTCCCGAAGCTGTTTTCAGGGGAGCTCATTCACCAGCCGCCAATTCTCATTGTTAGCTTGTTATGTTTTTCCCTCCTCACCCTACCTGAGGAATTTGGGCTGGGCCCTGTTGAAGGGCTCATGAGCAAGTCCTTGGCCTTCACCAAATGAGAACTTTCAAGACCCAGATAAAGACTGGATCAGCATTTAATTCATTCAACAAAGTTTCTTTTATTTATTTATTTTTTATGATACATATAAAGGCTTTATTTGTAAAGGGGAATTTTAGTCAAACAGGCCAAATCCATGTCATCAACAGATTCCTCAGACTCCTCCTTCTTCTCTTCTTTCTTCTCCTCTGCCGCAGCAGAGGCAGAACCAGCAGCAGGAGCTGCAGAGCCAGGGGCAACAGAGGCGGCCACAGCCCCTCCAGCAGGCACACTGGCAAGCTTGCCAATCCCCTGGGCAATTACATCATCAATGTTTTTCCCGTTCAGCTCACTGATGACCTTATTAAGCCAGTCATCGTCTGCCTAGATGCCCATGCTATCTAGGGTCTTCCTTGACTCTGGAGGAGGGGTTGCCTGAGAGAGTGACCAGCAAGTAGGAAGCCACATAGCGCATATTGGTGGCAGCAGAGAGGCCTCATGCGTGCGTTTGGGAAGCAAAAAAAAGGTCAAAATTCTTTTAAATAACATGAGGAGACTCACTTGCCCTACCCTGAGAAGAGGAGTTTTTACGACCTAAAACATTTCCAGCGAATGATTTCCCCCCTTGATTCTTGTGAGTTATAGCTTAGTCGCAGGATGATATCTGGCTTTCTAGAATTTACATTCTCTGCCTTTCTGCTCTCTGCTTGAAAGATGGCCAACCAAGCAAGAGAGTCACTGTCATGACACATCTCCAAGTTCACAAATGAGAAGCAGAATATTACAGGAAGTACTACCCACCCCTTTTCCATCTTTATATTATATAGCAAGAGAATTTTTGAGCTTTCAATAGATATGGGAGCCAACTAGACAACATTTCCCAGGTTTCCCTGTATCTGGTATGGTCACATGACTAGGCTCTAGCCAATGGTATGTTATCAGAAATGATACAGTAACATCCAGCCCATAGGTGTCAAAGAAAGAATAGTACGCTCCTCTGACAAAGTGGAGAGTCTTTTGGGAGCACAGTCAGGAACAATCCTTAATGATGGAGGAACCGAGGGGTGAGATTCTGAGTTTTCACCTGTGTGAAGCCTCCATCAACCAACTACTTATTCTTTGGTGATCCTATGAAAATCAGATTAATATCCATCTTTCTTAAGTCAATGTCATATTGGTCTTTAAAACAGCAGCTGAATCTGTATTCTTCTAATACATGGAAGAAATCTAAGGGAGGGAGTCAAGTGATGCAAGAGGTAGAAATAGAAGAGAAAAGCCAGCACAGCCCTCTCACTTGGAAATGCAAGTGATAGAAAGTGGCAATCAAGTGTTAGAGATGGCTCAGGACTGAAGCATGTAGTAGACACTTGATTAGCATATGATAACTTGAAACTTCTTCCTCCTAACAGTCAGTACCCATCATTTAAACACAGCATCCCTTTTCCTGTTTTCTGGCCTTTGAACATGCTTTCCCCTTAGCCAGGAGACCCCTCCTCATTCCACTACCCCACTTACTTGGATAAATTCTACTTGTCCTCCAAAATTCCTTTGAAAGTTGCACTTTCAAAGAGAAGTCATCCATGGATGAGATGTCCTCCCAAATACCCCACCTCAAACCCATCCTCTGCAAGTCTACCTGGTAGTCCATCTGTCTGGTTGAGACTTCCAGGAAAACAGGGAAGACACCTGTGAGCCATTGTGGCTCTAAGGCCATGTCCAGATTGTACCAGAATGCTCAAGGGCCACTGGATGAATCACCAAGAGGCTGGCTTTTCAAGGAGCTGGTCAGACACCAATTGCCTGGGAGCTTGACAGGCTTCCATTCACCCTAGCTGCTTTCTGGCAAACTCTGCCTCCTGGAGAGACCCAGATACATGCCTGAGTGCTCTGTCCTGGGGAAAAAATGAGCAATGATTCATCCACTTTCCTCTCCTAATGTCCCCTCTTTCAGATGGTTGTCATGGAGTTGGGGGGTTGTTTTTCCCTGTTTCCTTCTCACTTTTCCCCTTTTCTTTTATGTTTGCAATCGTCATTCCACCATTCAGAACTAAGTGCCATCACTCACAGCTCTCTGGCCACGCTGCATGCTACCTGCATCCCATGCCACCCACCCGCCTCTGATGCTCACTATGTCACCTCTCACTCCTAGCACCTACAGTGCCAAATGAAAGCTGTGCTTTTATCACTGGGTCCCGTTGCTTCTGAGTATTTCATATCTTATTAAGGGTCAAACCAGTTGAAGCAATTTCTTTAAAAGCCACACAGATTACTCAAAACAACAACAATAGGGAAGGAATAAGAGCAGCTAAACTGCACCCCTCGGTGTCTGGCACTGTCCAATAATTGTGCCACATTACAAGGGAGTGGTGGAGAAGACTTAATAGAAAATTGTCCATTCCTTGCAGCCCTGGATCACACCATGGCCTGTGTTCCTTTTAGGAGGAAGGAACCCCATCCAGGGTACTGGTTCAAGGCATAAATCCTGCATAGGACCCAGTACACATGAGAGCCCTGAGCCTGGCTTAAGGTGCTACTGTCACGGTTTTGAATTCATAGTAATTTTTGAATAAGGACCCCACAATCCCATTTTGCACCAGGCAATGCAAATTATGTAGCTAGTCTTGTCCTTGAGTGTGAACACTGGGGTGACACCAGCTGCCTTCTCATGGTCTGGGACAGAGCCTCCTGGTGTCTTAACAAATAGGAACCAGCAACACAGAAAAGCCATAGGACACACCTGATGTAGGACAAGGGGCACAGTCCAAGCTGAGCTTGAGTCCACCCTGCAATTTTCACATCCCTCTGAGCCTCAGTTTCCTCACTTGTAAAACAGAGAAAGTCATACCTTACCTCATAAGGTATGGATTCAATTACATGTGATAATGAGGCACCTGGAAATGGCTGAGACTTTCCATATTTAAGGTTGTAAAACAGCCATTGGGGAATTTCACACCACCCTTTAGACTATGAAGGAAACAAAGTAAGTTTATCTTGAAACAGCTGCACCGTTGGTTTAAGAAGGGGGCCTATCACTGAGGCCAGTTCTCATCCTAATGGATACTATTACTCAAGGTCAACTGGAGATGTTTTAAATGAAATCTAAAGTCAGAAATTCTTTATCTGTAAGGTGTGCAACTTCAATGTCCTCTGACTCAAAATCACTGTATATTCTTGGGAGATTAGCTTTCTTTTGACCAGGAATGAGCTTACAAGTGATTGGGAGTGAAGGTCTATCCCTACCAGGCAGTAGATATAGGTCCCTCTTCTCACCAAAAGTTGGAAGGCAGATTAGGAGGACTGTGGTCTGGGGTTGGTGCCAGCTAGAGTTTGGATCTTAAATGTCTTCAAAGGCC